ATTATAATATATCTAATAGTAGTCTTTTAAATTAATAAATATTAATATATATTAATTTTATTAATTTTTTAATTTTTTAATTTTAAAAATAATTTATTATCTAATAATTATAAAAATATAAGAAAATATATAATTCTTTTCAATGATCATTCGATTAAGAATTTTTATATAAAATATGTATATTTAAAGATGGCCACAGCTTAGTTTATAAACAAAAAATAAACCTTCCTTTTCAAATTTCTTACTCTCTTTATTCTTTTCAAACCCTTTTATTTTAAAAAAACAGTTTTTATTAATCTAAACAGTAATATTTTTTTGTTAAAATATTTTTTTTATCACTTCTATAGCTATTTTTTTATTTTTTTCCTTTTTTTTCTTTGCTTATAAAAATAAATATCAGGGGTTATCCCAAATAATGATCAGGATCAATAACAAATTTGGATCAACTAATCGCATGTGATGATTTTTTTACTATCTTTCTAAACAAGCATACTTTTTTTAGATTTCTAATATTATATAGCCTGCTGATCTTAGTAGAATTTTTTAATTTCTTTCAACTGTATGATTTGAGCTCTGTATAATTTCTATTAGCAGCTATAATCTAAATTGATAGACATCTTAGCATAAAAGTTTGAGAATACTAAAGAACCTCTAACAGAACTTAGTGATATAGATGTTTCTATATTAAAAGATTACCATAACTAGAAATTAACTAGGTAACTTAGTTAAGAACTTGTTAAAATCAGATTTTTTATTAACTTCTTTTTTGATTTAACAATAGTTTAATTTACTTATTTTTATATTGAATTTAAATTTAAAATAGAAATTATTGTTAGGTAAAAGAAAGAGATGTAATAATAATTTAGTTTTTGTATATTAATAGAGATTCTATTAATAATTATCTCTGAAGTATAACAGGATGATCAGTTGGTCTAGAGTTAGTAAATTTTTAGCTTGCAAGAATATTTTAGGAAGTTCAATTTATTTTTTTTACTTTTATACCTGATTTTTGAGATTTTTATATATTAATCTATTGGATTTGAATTTTCATAATAAATATGAGTATTATTGTATTTTTTAAAAAATAATTATAAAAATAAAATTTAGTTTATTAAATTTATTACATTTAAACTTATTGAATGATAGTATTTTTATATTTCTAAGATTAATAAATAGTAAGATATATAAGTTTAAAATTTTAATTTTATTTATAATAATTTATTATTTATTTATCTTTAAAAAATTACTAGTAAATTACATTTTTTTTAAAAATTTTTACTTAGGAAACATCATAAAATTTATTATAAAAGTATTGATTTTTTTTAATAATATATTTTAATATATTTAAAATAATTAAAAATGATTATAATTAATAAATAAAATTGCTTATAAATTTGTAAGTAAAATAATTAAAAGAATAATATAACTTGAAAACTTTTTTATAAATTTATATTAATTTTTTAAATTCTTAAATAATATAATATAATTTTATTTTTAATTTCTTAAACTCAGTATCATTTTGAATAATTTTAATTAATATGATTTAAATTATTAGAATTAGATTAATTAGAATAATTTAATTTAAATCTAATTATATTTAAATATTAATAGAATTCAGATAAAATCTATATAGACTCTTTGTAATAAAAAAAGAAAACTACCAAAAAAATTTTTTTTGAATTAATATTAAATCTGGATTTATTTATTAAAAAAATAATATTTAACTTATAAAACAAAAAAATTTTTTGATAATTTTCTTTTTTTCTATTGTAAAAACCATATTTTAATAATTTATTAAATTATTACTAATAAAATTATTTAATAGTTTTATATAGCCTTCTATTAAAATATTTTGTAATAAATATAGTACTAAAGGTTTTAACTCAACAATTTTTTAAAATTTTTTGTAAATTTTATATTATTTGATTAGTAATTGATTAAATAAATAAGATATTAATCATTTTTATTATATATTATTTTAAAATTATAATAATTAGGACTGACATTATAATTAATTACCATAATATTAGATTGAATTATCATAAATTTCAATTAATAATATATATTTTAAATTTAGAATAATCTTATAAAAATTATCTAATTTAAATACCTATAATTTTTTATATAGAACTTATTTTGAAAAACTAATCAGTAATTTAAAAGAATTTATCTTAAAAAATAAAATTACTAGTTAATTTTTTCTAAATTTTATTTTTTAAAAAAATTGAAAGATTTTTAAATATTATATTTATATTGTTAAATATAAAATTCTTACATTATATATAATTTTACAAAATAATAGGTTTAATTTTTTATATATTATGTATTATATAAAAATATTTACTATTTTCTTTTAATATAATTTATATAGTATATAATTAAATATTATTAAATATAATAAAATATAATATTTTTAAACATTTAATTTTTCATATTTTTTTTTAAAAAAATAATCTTTTAAATTTAATAATTCATAATTTAGCTATTATAATTACTTAATAAAAAAGTAAATAATAATTATTTTTGACTTTATATTATTGATATTTTATATATGTATATTAACTATTTTATAATCAAATTAACTAATTAAGAATTTAATAATTTTATATAAAATTATTTATGAGTATAAATAATAAATCTTTGTAATTTTATTATTACTTAATTTTATTAAAGTTATTATATTAATGTATTATTGAGTTAAAATAGATTTTAAATTTTTTTATTTATTTAATAAATTTTTTAAAAAATTTGATAATTAAAATTAAATATAGTCTAATAATCTAATAAATTTAAAATTAAAAAAATAAAATTCATTATTCTAATAATTTAAATATTTAATTGTCTATTAATCTAAAAAAATATAAAAATAAACTATATTATATATATAATTAGATAAATTGTAATATATAAATACTAATTTTAATTTTATATATTTTTATACAATAGAATATAATTAGTTGAGATTAAATTATATAGTATAGTTTAACTTATATATTGTATAATTTATATATATACTTATTTATAGTTCTGGTAGAAAAAACTGACAATTAAATGATAGTAAATATCTCATGTGATTTTTATTTAACAAACCTTAAAATTTTAATATATTATATCTTGTGATATACACTTTAAGACATAATAATTATTTAATAGTCTATTATATAATAATAATTTTTTTATCATTAATTCTATGCATTTCAAAATAGATTTTGAAAAATAAATATATATAAAAAAAAAATATTTTTTTTAATAATCTTCTATATATTTTTTAACATTATACTGTATCTAGTGATCATATGAAGATAAAATATAATTCATTAGAATCATTTCATTAAGATAAATTGAATGATAATAAATTAATATCTTTAAGTGTAAAGCTTGTATAATTATGAGATTAAGTACTAAATAAATTAGCAGTATTTATTGACATTTATTACATAACATTTTATGATATTTTTTTATATCTAATAATTACAAAAAAATGAATTATAGCTTATTAAATTCATCTTATTAAGATGAATCTAATGATACTAAATTTATATCTCTAGATACAAAACTCACAAAATTATGAAGTTATAAAAAAATTGTCAATTTTTTCTACCACAACTGTAAAAAACTATAATTATTTAAATTTATTATTTTATAATTTTTCATTTTAAATAAATAAATTTATTCATTGCAATATGTATTGTATCATCTTTAAGCAAATTATATAATTCTAATTAAAATTAAAATATGTGATATTTACAGCTAATTTTAAAAATTACAGAATGAACGATCATTTTACAGATTGATAAAAAAAACTTATTAAAACTCAGTATAGAATTTTTTGAAGAAAAAACATTATTACTACGTTCAAATCATTATTCTGAATATAGTGACATAATTTTTTTACCTATATAAAACTGTGGTTGGTTTTTCAAATTCTTATAAATATTCTTAGACAAGTCTCAGTTATTATTGGCTATCCTGTGACTTATAAAATTAGCTGTAATGTAAAATATAAAGAATAGATTTTTTACAACTAAAAATTTTTAAGTTTCAGAAATATATAGAAAGGAGAGAATATAATACAGGTGATAAAAAAGAGTTGATAATATCACATAGTATAGTGAATAAGTTATATTTTATATATTTATTTATAATATTATATTATATAAACTTCATTTAATATAATTTATTTGATATATTTGTATATTTTATATTATTTTAATTAAATATTTTATTAATTTAAGTTTTATATAATTTTATCTTTTTATAGATTTTTTAGATATAATTTTTTAAATTTTATTCTTTATCATAGGTTGATTTAACAATCTTATATATTTTATAATAATTAATATTATTAATATTAGTAATGAGTTTAAACATATATTTTTGATTTTAAATATTTTGAATAAGATTTTAAATATAGGAAAATATGTCAAAATCTATCTAAAATCTGGTTAACAATTGCTTATATAATAGAATAAAATTATTTTTTAAGTCAAATGAATTTAACTATAATTGGTTATTACTATATAATAATATTTTAAATGAGAATAAATAATAAAATATTAAAGTTATTTATTTATACTATAATTTTGGCCAAAATTATGTCGGAAATGGCGATGTCAAAATCACATGACTAGAAACACTTTTTTTTAAAAACCGAATCCATTTCAAGTTAGGACTGTTTTTATCACGTGAAATATACTTTAAAAAAATTTATTTATACATGGGGTACAGGTTAAAAGCCTACATTTTAAGGATGCCCTTTCAAGTTAAATCAACTTCACGTCACATGAAACACATATCACGGGATCCGGTAGAAGTTTCGGAGTTATCAATTTTTTTTGTTCGATTAGTCAGTTTTTTTTTTATCCTGTGTATGTTTATTTCTTAATTAATTTCCTTTAAATTTTCCTTTAAAGTAATAATCTCGAAAACTAGGCAGTTTTCTTTTTATTTAATCATAGTAAATATTTATTAATGTATATATTTTATAAATACTATAAGCAATGAGTACATACTTGAGTTGGTTGCCATCAATAGACGTTAGCTCTTACTTAAGGTACCCGGGTGGGAATAATAATTCACAAACCTCTAATAATACAAAGACTTCAACACGAACAATTCAGAGTGAAAATAGCACAATGTTTGGGTTTTTCGGTGGCTTGTTTGATAGAGCTCCCAAAATTGAAAAATATTCCCCTGAGAACTTAAGGTAAGCTTTTACTCATTTCTTAAAAGAAAGGAAAGGTTGGAAATAAAACACATTCTCATTTGATAGGCCGATCAAGAGAGAATGTGTGGCGATATAATATCTTCTTTTACAATCGAAATTATTTGGACCAATTTGATTTTTCAATTTCGCATAGGAATCTAGGTGATCTTCTTTATGAACGTTCAAAACCTGGAAATGATGAAAGAGTGGTTGATGTATTAAAGGAAATGACACAAATTTTGGTTTGGGGTATGGCAAAAGATTATAAATAAAATTTATTAAATTTTGTTTGTTAGATTTTTATATTAATATTTAAATGAAATTATAATTTTATATAGGTGATCAACACAAACCGACTATACTTGAGTATGTGAAATCATTTATTTATTTATTTTTGATTTGCTTTTAATATATTGAAATTTTTATTTAATTCGTTTCAAATCATTTTTCAGATATTTTTTTGAAAATAATATACATTATGACATTTTAAATTTTTTGGAACAAACTAATAGTCCAAATGTAACGAAACAAATATTACAAACCATGAATATTTTATTTGAAAATATCCATGATCTAACTTCACTGTGTAAGTTATTTTTCAATAAGGTGTAAAGTGTCGAAGAAAAACGCGTTCAAACTCGTTTATTTTTATTTAAATAGATTTCTTGTTGTCTAATAATTTTGTCAACCGAATAATATGTCACAAATTTGATTTTTCGAATGATGAAATCATGGCGTACTATATTTATTTATTACGAACGTTATCTTTTAAGTTGGATACCAACACGTTATTTTTCTTTTTTAATGAGGTACGTTATGAAATTTTTATTCTATCTTTGATTCATTATGCCCTAAGGAATTTTCATATTTATCATCACTATTTCTATTCAATAATTAAATAGCGACAAGATGATTTTCCTTTGTAAGTCTCTATATATGTGATTCTTTTTTTTGATTACCGATAGAACAACTAAATATTATTTAGATATTCGGAAGCGATCAAGTTCTTTAATTCGGATGAGAGTATGATACGAGTTGCTGTTCGGACAGTGACATTAAATATATTTGGTGGTAAGTCATTTACTTGATGTATGATTCGTAATTGTTGGTAAATCACGTGACTCACATAGTTTTTTTTGGATTTAACTAGTTAATAATGCACAAATGCAAGAATTCATTCTGGACAGAAACGCGGCTCCATATTTCTCAAACTTGGTTAACTTTATTTCCAACTTCTCGACAATTTTGGACGACATAAGCAATTCGCCCAAGTAGGTCTAATATATATTAATTTGGACATTCTTATTTTATATCATTATAATTCGAAAATTTTCTACGTGTTTTTAATAGCTACCACAATCAATATCAGAGATTTAACTACTATCTCGCAGAGCATTGCGATAATTTTTATTATATTAACGATATCATAAATTTGGACAATGAAAAAATGAACCAAGAGTTAACTTCGCACTTGATGGATCTTTTATTGAAACCTGTATATGCAGATAGTTTGGTTCACAGAAAGTTGTTACCGTATAAGCAGGTATTTACCCACATTAATTTAGAAGATGTCGTCGCTTCATTTTTCTTGCTTCAACAATATTAATTGTATAATTCATTGTAGTCAACGCGTATAGATTCGGTGGTGGCGCTTGCACTTTTGTGTCACGTTCTTCACATATTTCGTCATCCGCCATTAGTTACAGCGATGGTTGCAATGCTTTTTTCAAATTCGCCAGAGTTAATGGATTATCCGCAATCACCTAGACTTGACACCACATATGCAAATCCTTCTTCATTATTTAAAAATAGGAATCTTTATCGAGAGGCTATAATGGGGTTCTTGATTCCCGAGGAATCAGTTTCAGATGAAGATGAAGATGAAGAAGCAGACTATCATGATTTGAACACCTTGCCGGCTCTTTGTTTAATATACATGTCATGTAGGAATCATGCGATTGCACCAGATATACTTTTGGCTACAGAAGTTTATTCTCAAAAGTTATTAAAGACTCGTCGTTTGTTGGTAAATCATTACGTATACATTATGAATTATCTAAGGATTATTATTGTATTCCGAAATTGAGTTTATATCTTTCTTTTTAGGACTCATTAGTGTCCGACACCGAGGATCTATCGAATGACACACCCTTTTCGTTTAGTCACAGAGTTTCATTTGATACGGCATCAATGACATCAACAGCAACTACTGCATCACAGAGTAAACCGCTGATTACGGATGATTTAGATGGTGAATTATTAAACTTCTCAACAAATTCCAAGCCTGATCAATTATTTGTGAATGATATGGATAAAACCCTATACGAATCATCACTTGCTCCTTCCATAAAAATAACCGGAGAAAATAATTATAATTACCAGCATCAAACAAGAAATTACCGTGCGGAACTAGTTCAAAATATCATCACACTTTTGTGCGTTCATTATCGATTATGTAGACCGATTACACTTCAGGTACAATGTCTGTTGTAAAAGGACATATACTTTTTGTTCGTGAATTAAAGTAACTTATTTATTAATAATAGATGGCTGCAGAGGTATTACTTGAGCTCTTATATTATAATGGTTCGGGAGAGTGTTTAACTCTGGAGCAAACAGAAATGATAAACGTGAGATATAACTATAACATAGCTTTGTCATTATTTAGTTCGATGTTAGACGAAAACTTATCTTGTTTTTATACTTTTAGATAACTGAAAAATTATTACAAGAACGGGTGAAAAACTATTTCCTGAAAAATCACGAATTTCAGTTAGACAAATTCGAAAGGGCAGTTAATGAATCAATGTGTATGTAATAAAAAATTTTTTTTTGTTTTCAAAACTTTTACATTTTACTAATTTTTTTTTTTTTTTTAAAAAAATTATAATATAAGTTGGAGGAGATAAGTATGTTGGAGAAATTATAATGAATGCAAAATTATTATTTCCGCCACCATCTCCAGTTCCACAATCGACGTCGATAGATACCGAGGGTAATTTTTTTTTTTTTTTTTAGAAAAAAAGTCAAATTAAAATGAGTAATTCTTTTTTTATTGAATCAATTACATCATTTTATTTTTGGTTAGATGAAAATATCATCAGAGATATCAAAACACTTCACCTTCTTCGTCAATCTCGTATTCTATTATCAAGAAAATCGATATTAGAAGAACCAACTTTTGAGGAGGTAGGGTATATAGAAGAAAATAAATATAAATCAGAATTGGTTTACCATAATGGATTAGTTGATGAAAATTTTGATCAAGCCCGTCAACAAATGTATTCTACAACTACGAAAAATGATTACAAAACTCATCAAAGAAGTAATACAAAAGATTCGACTTCATCTTGGGTAAGTGTAAGTGAAGTTGAAAAAAGAAAGAAAACGGTGCTGGAAAAACTTGGTATATTATTATTATAGTTATGAGGAGATTTTTCATTCGATTTATTGCCTTTTTAATTATTTAATCAAATAACACCTCATCATATTAAAGAACAATAAAAAGTGAGTTTATCATAAAAATTTGTATAATTTTACCACGTGACTTTGTTTTTGTTAAGGGCAAATTCCATGTATAAATAAATTTTTTTTAAGTACTAGTCACGTGATATTGGGGTGTTCTACAAACTATATCAACTATGTAAATCAAATACATTGTTAATTATCATATAAAAATTTACTACTATTATTACGATTTTTTCTATTAAAAAATTCTAAATCTTTAACGTTTAATAACTTCGGTATATGTTAGCATTCAGACAAATAAAACTATAAATGAATAATTTATTACCTAAAAAAAAAAAATGTGACACCACGCTTTCTTGAAAACAACAAAGAAAATAAAATTTTTATTTAGAGAGCTGTGTACAAAAAGATTTATTTATTAAGCGTAAAATAATATTTTTTTTTGGAAAAAACGAGCTGTTACATGAAAGAGACAATAATTTAAAATGTTTTTGTAAAATTTGGAGCGAAGATATTAAGAATTTAAAGTTATTAAAGTCTAAAAATGTATAGATTTTAGTGAGAAGATTATTATAAAGAAATTTAACCTATCAGAATTACAAAAAAATCTCTAATAGTAAATATTTATATGATACTTAACAATGTTTTGATTTACATAGTTGATGGAACACCCCAACGTGATATGTACAGTTGTGGCCTAGGATAAGAACCTGAACCCGAGGTACTTTTTAAGGACGCTCTTTTGTTAAATTGATTAACTAAATAACCATAGTTGTCATGTGACTAAGATTTTCTCGCTACTGTAGCGTTCGCTTCGTTGTCTGTTTTATTTGTTTTATCTAGTGTCGTAATCATATAAAAAATAAATACCTTATATCATCCAAAAAATATTTAATAAATTAAACTCTGATTTTATATATAGACTGGGAGTTAATTATGTGGCGAGTCTCAGCTGGGTGTCACGATAAAAATGAAAAACTATAGCGTCAGAGATCATATCAATTAACTAAGTTTTGATATTATGGAGAGGAGGGGGGGTGGGGGGGGGGGGTTTTGATTTCATTATTTTAATGTAAAACCGTGTCATTTATTTCAGATGATGATATTGTACAATAGTCCGCTTCTAAATTAGGCATGTTTATAAAAAAGCATGATTTGATTCCTTTTAAGAATAAAATTAAAATAGGCCACATATTTAATTTCGGTTTCCACCGACATTACAATAAAAATCGATAACGTATCTATTTTAATCATACAATATGATTATATGTTACTAATTGGGGGGCAAGTGCCAAAAATTCTGTTTTACATTCCTTTTCTGTCGTAGATGATGTTACAATCGAGTCATGTGCAAAATTCATCTGCAATTATTTTGAACGCTAAAGGAATTCCGTTCCGTTATGGAAGATTGTTTTGTAATTATAATTAAATAAACTACGATAACACGAGAATGTCTTCAATTAACGGTATAAATTTTCAGATTGGCTTCAAAAGTTAAAGTTTTTATTTTCATTTATTTTATTTTATTTTTTTTTTTTGTTTGGATAGAAATATATATGGCTGCTATTCGCAAGGAAATGGTTAATGATGCATATTATAACGCACATGTAATAAATAATGATAATGATGACACCGACGACATAGACCAAAAGTATGAAAATATATATCATAAAATTCGTTCTAATGAACTTCTTACAAAAGAGGAAAAATCAGAAGTAATAAAAAGACTAGAAGAGTCGCTTGATCGTAAAAAAGTACGTGAAGAGAAAGGAAAAAAAAAGAGATTGTGAAAATTGCAAACAAAAATGTTTTGCAACATCATATTGTGAGAATTGTATACGAAATCATTTAGAAGCAAAATTTTCAGAATGGACATCTGAAAGTGATGAAATTGATAATTTAATAAAGGAATGTCAGAGGGAATTAACAACTCCCTATAAAATAATTGAATGGATCCCGTACAGTAATATACGAAATATTAAATATCTTACTAAAAGGCGGATTCTCTGAAATTAATGAAGCAAATTGGGAGGGTGGATGCTATAACAAATGGAATTCCAAAGAACAACAATTAGAAAGATTAGGAACACATAAAGTCATACTTAAAAAGCTAAATGGTGTTGAAAGTAATGATAGAAACTGGTTTGAAGTAAGTATGTAAATTTATAAGATGATGATTATTATTTATTATATTTTTAATAAAAACTAACGATTTCAACGCTATATTATAAGGCTAAGTATCATTTGACATTGAGTAATAAGTATAATGCGATTATTCAATCTTTTGGGCTTACTCAAGATCCATCAAATAAGAATTATTTTCTTGTAATGAAACTGATGGATATGGATTTAAAAACATATTTAGAACTAAATCATGATCAGCTTACATGGAAAAAAAGAATTTACATAGTTTGCAAAATAGTTAATGCAATTTGTAAAATTCTTAAAGAAAATAAGTTTCATAAAGATTTACATTCCGGAATTATATTGTATTTGGAAGAGTTTAGTGGTTGGTATATTAGTGATTTAGGATTTTGTGATTCTGCTAACAAACCATTAGGAAATACGTATGGAAATCTTCCTTACATGGCGCCCGAGGCTATTTCTAGAAACACATATGCTGAAGCGTCAGAAATCTATAGTATTGGTATGCTTATGTGGGAAATTTCAGCTGGACAACAGCCTTTTGCTAATGTTGATCATGATCTCGATCTTGCAATGGAAATAGTAAATGGATTGAGACCAAAAATAATACCAGGAACTCCAACTGAATATAAAGAATTAATGGTTCAATGTTGGGATGCTGTTCAATCAAAAAGACCTGTTATTGATACTCTTTTAAACGGAATCAAAAATATGTGTCGAATGTGTCAGGATGAAAAATATCTTAATATACCAAATAACTCGTCTAAAATATTTAGTGAATTATATTTATATAAAAATTCTGCACTAAAAAATATTATTAAAGGTAAACCATCAATTATTTTCATTATGTTGATATTAAATTATTAAAATTTTATTCTTTATTTTTTTAAAAAAATAAAAGATCTTGATGATCAAGATAGTAAGCAATATAATCTGAAAATATCCTGTAAGTATCATTAATTTATAATATATTTTAATTGTTTTTTTAAATTTTATTAAAATATTTTAAAAAATCAAATGCTATCTGTAAAATTAAAACTGAAAAGAATAATTTTGCAATACTAAATGGTATGATTAATTCTTTAAAATTTTGATTTATGTTTTATAGTTTATATTTTATTATCTTTACTTTATTTATACAAATATATTTTTGATTTTATATCAATTATTATTATTATAATTTTTTTAAAAATGTAACTTTGAGTTCACTAGAAAATTCAGTGTACGTTCAATTAAATATGACATGTAGAAGAAATCATGACTTTTCTATGTGGAATATCAGAAACATGTTAAAGTGATTTTGAATCCAAATTTCGAGAAAATAGTTGCTTTTTTCTTTTTTTATTATATAATTATTTTTGCTCGTAGTAAAGGATTTATAATAAAATAAACATTCAAAAAAAAAGACAAAGTAAAAATTATGACGCTATGTTATAATAAAATACTACAGTCGTCACTGGATATAACATCCAGAAGATTATGTTCGGTATGGAGTGAGTTCGTTATATATATGGAGTTAATAATTCGGGTCAAATATGTAGCGCCGGCCAGAATTATAGTCATTTAACATAAATTTCCTTTTTTTGAAATTTCTTTGTATTTAAACGAATCCATTTTACTCGACCATTTTTATTTAATGTCAAATGATAATTCTGGCCAGTATTATAAATCTGGCCCGAATTACCATTTTGTCACATGACTGTTCGGTATATAAAATATATGATTAATATAAGTGGACCGGTTAAATTGAGTTCGGATGCGGTATATAGCATTTTATTATAAAAGTTCGTTATATCCAGTGTAATTAATTATAAAAAATTTTTTCTGAAGATTTTGGTTCGATATAACGAATTTTCGGTACAAACAGGTTCGGTATAATTAAGGGTTTGTAATGAGTTTGAAAGAGATAATTCTATCGGTGGATGAAAATGCGCTTTGTTACTCAAAAAAAAATAATAATGGTCTATTTAAGAAATTATTCATCACAAAAAAAAAAAAAAATAAACCAAATGATTTAATTTAAAAGGTGTATTTGTTCGTTTACAAACAATCTCATCATTATAATTCAACAATTTCTCTAGATCATGTAAATTTCAAATAATGAAAATGCAACAATAAAATTAATAAATAAATCAAATTAGATTATCCTTCTGAACTTTCTTCTATAGTTTCGTTATTATCTTGTTTTATAGAATGGTTTCTGGAAACGATTTTTTAAGGATCGTGTTTGCAAAAAAAAAAAAAAAAATAATACCATCATGTAAAGTGAATAAACTGCATTAACGTTTTAACATGAAAAAATCTGGTCAACCATACTCTCGACTTTCCGTTTTACCGTTGTAAAACTTGTCCAGAAATTTTTTTCAAAAAAAATCTCGTCCACAAATCGAAGATCTCTCTGTCTTTTCATATGGAGAATGATCTTCGTATATCAATTGAGAATCTTTGGGTTAAAAATTAAGAAAAAGATTCGTACATATAAAAACCACCATCTAATCTCAATAACCTTGACCGATATGTTAAAAAAAGCATTCAAAAGCACCGTGATTGCAGGCACACTAAATACGATTTTCCAACTTTTTTTTTAATTTTGAAATATTCAAACCAAGCCATCATCAATTTTATTATAAAAATATTCCATATCATTATTCCGTAATCCAAAGAAATGTCCAGTTAAGAAAAATAAAGTAATACATAAAAAAAAAGACATAAAAGCCAAATTAAGCAAACCCGATACTATGTAGAAAGTCAAAAGAGTTATTCACATCCATTCATTTATTTAATACATATCAACCGTTGGATTGAATATACAGTTAAAATTAACGCATTAGTAAAATTGGTACATCAATAAAAAAAAAAAAAACTGAGACAAAGCAAACCCGGTTCACAGATTATTCCAAAGCCATACTACAATTACATCAATACACATTTGCCATTGATTATTACACGGCTATCTATAAAATTAAATTATACGTGATTTTCTCTTTAATTCCATTTATCCAAAAAGTGTAGATATCTATTAACACTTGACTTTTACAATTAAAGCTCAATAACACCTTAGTAAAGGAACAAAAACAAAATTAGCGATAAATCAAAATTAAAGAATAAGTTATCAAAAATTCTCGACATTCGAAGAGTAGTATCCAATTTCTATCCGCTGTAAGAGTTATATCGCATAGCCACTTCTGAGCAAGTTGAGAAAGAATTGGAAATTTTTGTGCATTTCTTTTTTCCACTTCCAAAGCCTTTGGCATTGCTAAATTCATTTTCTTCAAAAGCCCATTCTTTACTTTTCTTTTTTTATCAAGACGATTTTGGAAATATTGCTTATATTAATATGTGCTTTATTTAAATTGAAAAATGAATCTCCAGAATTTTAATATGTGATGTTTCACCATGCAAAATTTTAAAAAAAACGTAAATGTGTGAAAATGCGAAATAATACAAAATAAACAATAAAAATAATATAATCAATGTTCACCCAATCACCTTATAATTACTTCGAAATTTTATAGTACTGAATTGTCTTTCGTTAATCTAACCAAAGATTTTTTTCTGTGTTTCTTGATGAATAATTAATAATGACCGCATGTCGAATAAATTTAACAAATAACCCATAGAATTTTTGTGCCCTTAATTCATGACGTTAAGCCATAGATTTAACGCAAAGGGCTCGCTCATCATAAACCTATATAATTAATTAAAAAATTATTTTTATTAAATGTGAAAATAAAAATAAAAAATAAGAATCAAATAGTACTCAAGTATATAGCAGAATCCTTCCTCAATACAAAAATGGAAAGCATCAGCAACTAATCATCTTTTAAATTCGTAGTTAATTGTATACATATAATCTCTAATCTTTTCGATCTTTATATCAACGTGTGTTGTAAAGCTCTTGCGATAAGTGTTCGACTATATACTGATTGTCATAATAAATATATACAATGTAATAGTTGATATTATACCGTTCTTCTCTATGTCAGAAAACGCAGTGGAGCATCATAACTTTTTTTATACAAATTCTTTGAATCTGACAAATGATGTACTCCAATTAATATACAACTATGAATGTCTCTTTTATTTTTTTTATATCCAAACAAATAGAAATAAAGGACCATAAGATGAAGCATATCAACTAGACTACAGCTGCTTTGATCTGATGCGTGTTTTATGAAATTCTTCAATGATGGCTATTTATGTACTAAATAAATGTTAAATTTTGGTGGGTATTAAATTTTTGACAGGAATATGTGTAAACTTCCAAGTTGATATCCAAAACAACAGAACATTGCATGTTTTAAACTTCATATTCGGTTCTGAATTGTTATTCGTGATGCTTAACCGTTAAAATGATAAAAAATACCGGTATTTTAAAAAAAATCAAAAATTTGCAATGCAATGTAAAAAAAAAAAAATACTTACCTAAAAGTATCCAATTCACGGAAAATAATTGCTGCGTATATGGTTTTAAATAATTTGAGTGGGATGTAATGCCTCGTAATTTGTTTTCTAAACTTGTTTAGTAGTGTTGCTGTAACAACTACTAAAATAAAATGAATAAAAGATATATTGAATATAAAGATATCATATCCACGGATTTATGAAAGGTGATTGATAAAAAAAAAAATTTAGCCCACGAATCAATTGTTACTTAGTATGGTTAAAGTTTATATCTAACTCGTAATACATAATATTGTATGACAATAAAAATCACTTGTTCATTCGAGTCAGTTTAATATCCTGAAAAAATAAATATTTTTTTCGTTTAATTTAATCATCTAAATCAAGTCATGAGATATTGAGGTGTTTTGCTTTGATGAAGTAGATCGAATTTAGACAACAAACAATTTACGCTAACAAATCTCTTAGCATCAAAATTACCACATCAAGGAGTTTGTGAAACTGCAAACTAAAATATTTATCTATAAAAATTTGTAAGCAATGTATTTAAAGTAAAATTTTCAGTATGTAAATAATTTAATACAGAAATATCAATCGGATACGGTTCTTCCAAATAACATAGTTGAATGGATCCGATACAATAAATACCTGTTATTCCATACGTAGTGAAGGATAACTAGGTTATTCACGAGTTATATGACGAACACAGCGTCGCCCGTCAAAAATGGTAGCCGGATTTTATTTGCCGGATATTTATTATTAAGGTTAGTATTATAGTTAGGGTTTGTATTAGGATTAGGGTAGAATTAGGATTAGTTTAAGGGGGTTAGCAAATTCGTCACATCGCGTCACATCCCAGCCGTTCTTCAATTTACTAAGTATTCTAGGGACAGAAATTTTTTGTTGAGAAAATTGTATTATATGTCACCCCTAATAAATATATGTGACCCGACAAATAAATCCGGCTACCATTTTTTACGGGCGACGCTGGGACGGTTCGAGTTACATATATAAATTACATGCGCGTAAGCGCATGTAATTATCATATTAACTCTGAATAACCTAAGTAATCCGTAACGAAGTATGGAATAACAGGCTTATCTCATTGTGTATGACGTATACACCGATGGATTATTTGTCTATATACATTTTATTTTTTATCTTGAAGATGTTTATTACATGTCTGAAGAAGTTAAATGGCGAAAATTACGAAACGGATCTGTACATAACTATTATAAATGATGAGTCAATTAAAAATGTAACATATATAAATAAAAAAGGAAATTTATTGATGCAATATTTATATTTATGTTCTTCAATTAATTTATATTACAATGTAAGAAATGACAAGCATTTCTAATTCTAAGCGCGAAAAAAAAAAGAAAGTCCAAATTTAATATACATGTACAGAACGTCATAATATTCAATTTCAAACACCGTTAAGACGTACATTTCACATATTCATTACTAGTAAGTTGAATATTATAAATTTAAATACACATTTTGAATAAATATAATAAACATGTATTTTCTTAATTGTTGCATTAATACATATATATCATGTCATATTATAAACCAGTGGAGTAATTGACAAAAAAATCCATCTGTGTATACATAATACTGATGGATAATGATTAATTTCTTGTTATGTCTTTTGGATTTGAGAACATATTTATACTAAAGTCGTAATAAACTTATATGGAACAACGCATCTATATACCTTGTTACATAAATGAAGCAATTTTCGCCTTAACGGAGGTAATTCTATTCATAAGTATTATATTTGCTTTTAGGAAATATTCTAAATATTCTGATGGTGATAAAGATGTATGAAAATCTTCCTTATAGCACTGAAGTCATTTTGGAAAGGATATACGTTTGAATCAGATATTAATAGATAGTAATAGTATTGGTATGCTTATGTGAGATTTCATCTGGTCTGGACAACCACAATTTGTTGAATTTGAACATACAAGTTTTCTGACCTTGCGAAATAATGAATGGGATGAGACCGAGGGTAGTATCAGAAACTCCATAAGAATATAAAATTTAATAGTACATGTCATGTTGGGATGCTGATCTATTGAAAAGACCGACATTGATACGGAGAAATTTCAAGAAATACGAAAGTCATATTACGGAAAAAGAAAATCAATTACTGATGTATAAAATTATTATAATATTTAAGAGGAAAGAGTTCAAAATAAATCTTGCTGGACATCATCATATTTTATTGTTCCAGATCCGAAAAGGTTTACATGCTAAAAGTAGTACAGTAATGATATCATGTTTCATTGGAAGGCGCATGAAAGTATCTCTTTAAATTTATGTAGCGCAAAAAATTCCATAGAATACATAGAATATCAACTGATATTCGAGAAAATGCTACAATATTGCATTTGTATGATTCGAAGACTTGCGTAAGGCATCATGGATAACAGAGAAAATGATTTTAGAGTTAAAGATGTGAATAATCAAGATCTAAATCTTTTCGCATCGATGGGATATGCCTCTTATCAAATGAATTTGAGATGTTAAAATACAGTATCTCTAATTAAAATTTGGCTTCATAGCTAGCCGTAAATAATCTCTCCAGTTTTACAATTGTAATCTTTGTTTTTTAATCCATTCTTCATACTCTTTATCTAATTTTTCATAAACTTTCTTGGTAAAAAAAAAATCATTTTATTAAACATGATGAATTTCATGAATTCTTTCATAGCAAAAATTCCATTAAATTATTAGACAGGTTCAACTTAATAAAGAATTCCATATACCGATACAGTAAAAAAATTGCGAGTAACTTCATCTGATTCAAGATCAAATAATGTATTATTTTAGGGAGAGCGATTGGCATTTAGCTCCGCTTTGTTTTTTAATGCGATTTGTCATCTTTTTCCTTTCGTATTATTCGAAAATAGATTTTTCACAGCTCTTTCAGTATCAAGTAATTTACTCTATACTTGACACATATGTTAGTTTTTAGATAGTTTATATTTATGATAATTTATTAAAAACTTACTTCGAGCAACTTGAGAATGCAATATGCATCTTCTAATATGTCGCAATCATCAGTATCAGCAGGTATCCTGCATCGATCTATCAATCCAAATCGATATATACCTGATCCCATCCAATCCATAGCATAGAAATTCAATTATAAACCTATAATAGAACTCATGAGTAAGAATATTATTAAAATTTCTTACTATGTTAAAACTTACCAAATTGAAGCCAGCCGTATACTATAATTTCCAATCTTTTTCATTCGATACATAATCACATTCTTTTAATAGACGATTTATACTATCACGCATCGTTATCATTAATTTTACTTTATCTAGAAACCTTTTCTTACGACAAGCGGTAGGGACTCCAAATGGTCCTAACCCACCTGAAACCTCTCCAAAAAGAGCCTCAAATTTATTTGATGTTTTTAGCAACATCGCTTTCATATCAACCTTTTTACCAATTCGTGCTTTTTTAAATGGATCTGATTTTTCGTTACATGTATCACTGCTTGAAATATTCTGTATTTCTCCCCTGTGTGCGGAAAAATTATTAGCATAAATATAGTATTTATTACCTTAATATAAATGAAATGATTGACTTACCAAGAATGCATTATATGATCGGATGTAATTGTTTCATGAAATAACGGATAAGAAGATGTCATTTTCAAATGTTCTTCCATTATCATGCCTTGGAAGAAATGCACATTGTTTTTCCTATACGATAATACAAAGTCAGAACGTAATGCCAGATAATAAGTAAGTG